GCTTGCAGGGAAGGACACACACCTCACAACACACATCACAGCTTGAGGGTCACACACACATACACACACATCACAGCTTGAGGGTCACACACACATCACAGCTTGCAGGGACGGACACACACCTCACAACACACATCACAGCTTGAGGGTCACACACATACACACACATCACAGCTTGAGGGTCACACACACATCACAGCTTGCTGGGACGGACACACACCTCACAACACACACACACACACACACACATCACAGCTTCAGGGTGGCGGCTGCTCCCCTGCTTAACATGCAGCTCAGGTTGGCAGCCAGAATCCAGAGCTACCAGCGGGGGGGAGAGAGAAAAATCCCCCCTTGCACCCCCTCCCCTTCCTCCGCCGCCCCCGGCCGCCCGCGACCCGCCCGCAGCCCCGCGGTACCTCATCGCCGAAGAAGGCCGAGTGCGGGGCGGAGAGCAGCCAGAGCAGTCCCATGGAGCTCGCATCCTGCAGCAGCCGGCGCCGCGGCTCTGGCTGGCTCCTCCTGAAGGGCTGGGTCCTAGGAGTGGAATTTTTTTTACACGTTCCCGGCTCCCGGCCCTAGGGGGCAGCAGATCCCACTTGGCGCCCGTGAAAAAGTGTGCAAAGGAGCGTGGAGGGGGGGGGGCTGGTGAACACACAAGCGCTGAAGAGACCCGCCAGGGGGACGCGGGCGGCCCTGGGTCCGGTCACCTCTGAAGCAGGGATGTTCCATACCGGTTAATTGAATAGTCGGTGAACCTCATGAATACTTATCGGTTATAATCCCTGGGGGTGGTGCCCTCCGGCCCTGCTCCCGAGAAGCCCTTTCTCCCCCCCCCCCTCCTGCAGCTGTATCTGAGGCAGCAGTGTGGGGTACCCGCTCCCCTTATGCATCTGCCTGTCCCCCATGCTGCTGGTACAGAGGCAGCAGCTCCTGTCTGGGTGGGTCTGGGGGGGCTGAGCTCCCTGACCTGGTGTTAGCCAGGCTGCTGGCCAGCCAGCTACAAAATTTACTGGCAAGGGCAGAGGGAGGAGGGGGTGTTTCTCAACCAGTGGTACTCCAGAGAAGTCGGGCGGGGGAGGGGGTACCTCAACACAACCGAAATTTGGAGAAAACTGCATTTTTGTTTTAAGTTTTACAGCATTTTATTATCTTTGTACTTTTTACACCCCAAAATGTCATCGCCCACCCGGCTACGATTAAGTTGTTTAAACAAATGTGTTGCAATGGTAGAAAAAAATTGTGTGTCCCCCAAAACTGTAGGTACTGGGGGTACTTATATATTTATATATTTTAAAAGAGGTACTTTATAAAAAAAGGTTGAGAAACACTGGTCTATAGGTTCATCGACTGCACTATGACATCCCTAGTTCAAAGACACCACTCTCCTCTCAAAGGAGGGAAGGACAATGGTCCCTTGTTCTCTCCACCCACCCACCCACCA